AGACCAGCCTGAGCTACAAAGTGAACTCAAGGCCAGCCTGAACAGCATAGTGAGACCCTGTCTCAAAAAGACCAAAAAAAAAAAAAAAAAAAAAAAAAAAATTCTAGAGCTTCCCTCCCCAATGAGGGTTAAAGCAGCAAGGTAAATCTGCAGTTAGTTAAACTTCTATTTCAATCTTTTAAGGTGATATTTCACTCCAGTCATTAACTTCTTTCACATAAAATGCAGGTTAGTGAAGTTAATTGCATAACTAGTCTACAAAAGTGACTTATATCTGTAATTTATCAAACAAAGGTTTGCAGAAGATTATAGTGCTTCAAACCTTTAGATCAGACAGTATCAAATTACTACCTTTCAAAGAGGGTCAAGTATAAACGAAAATGTTTCTTTACTTTTTTCTTTTGGAAGGTAGCTGAAGATGAAAACAGTTGAGTGGGCCAAAAGAGTTATCATTTAAATATGCTAAGTGGCCTAGTATTTATGAAATAAGAAGGCTCACCCACTTTACAACTTGACTAGGGAAGTGAGCTTACAGGTAGAAATTAAGGGAAAAAAGCTACAAATCTGCAATTCACAAGGCAAAGAGACAAGTACAAAGATCATAAAATGTTGACTTTTAAAACTCAGGAAAAGACATTAATAGTTATGCAGAGACTAAGAATAGGTATTAAGAGACAAAGTATTAAGGGAGAAGATCTAGCAAGAAATAACCAAATGGCTGAAAAATTACGGTAGAGGACTAGCTTTGAGCCTTTGTTTAGTAACAACTCTTATTTCAACCTTTAGCCAATGACAAACTGAATTAAATTTTAGAAATGATACATATTCATATGCAGGCTAACATCTTTACCAGACACAAGCAAATTTTTAAATCGTATAATGTTCCTCTTATTTGGGAAGCAAAATTAAGTTGATAAAAATGTTATTTTGTGATTTGATTCATTTCCTGTGTCCTTACTACTAGTAAAGAGATTAAATGGAAGATGATTTAATACTTTTAAAAGCTTCCTATTGGGCCAAGTGTGGCGGCACATGCCTATAATCCTAGCACTTAGGAGGCTGAGGCAGGAGGAATGCCACAAATCTCAGACCAGCCTGAGCTACACAGTGAGTTCAAGTCCAATTGAATTACAGAGTGAGACCCTGTGTCAAAAAACAAAAACAAAAAATAAAATAAAAACCAAAAAACTTCTTACTATACTGCAAAAAAATCTGACACATTCTTTACAACTGTCATCTCAGTTTAGTTACCTAAAACTAAGTGATAATTTATTTTTTTTTTAATTTTTTTTTTTTTTTTGTTTTTCTCCGGTACCGGGAACCGAACTCACGACCTTGCGCTTGCCAGGCAGGTGCTTTGCCGCTGAGCTAAATCCCCAGCCCCCAAAGTGATAATTTATTATCCCAATTTACAAAGTGACTACAAACATGAGTACTGATTCTGTGGTTTGGTGCTCACTTCTAAGAGCTGTTTGAAAATTTTATCACCATGTGTAACCACAACTCTTTGGCACATGACTGCCCTACGTATTTACAACAGACCATGGAGAGTGCTAATAGTGAAGTTTTCTACTTCAAATAGCAACATAAATTACAAACTAATCAAATCTCAGAATGGAAAAAATAGAACTCTTACTACTTCCTTATTTCTGAGAATTAAAACTTAATATTAACTCAAATGGTATAATTGAGCATTCTAAAGTGCCAGTTTTTTTAAAACTTATTTTGTAAGGAACAGCAATGCATGCTTTTTGCATAATATTTGAAAAAGCTTATTCTGATTTTATAAAGTTTTCTACTACTTCCACTATGTAGGGCCTCTGTGGAGGATTATCCAATTGCAGTGAGTTCAATAACTTGAAAGGCAAACTACAACTCTATTCACCTCAGCTTATTATTCAGGGTAAGATACAACTGCCTTGAACCCTTGCTGGGCATTAATGTCAGAAACACTTCACTGTAAAATGTTTCATGCTAACCTTAAATTGGTTTAACAGCACAAATTCCAAGTTCTTTATGCATGAAGACCTAATAATATATTTCCAAAAGTGCCTGGGAAGGGAGAGGAAAAAGTGTGCTTGGCATACTGTTTCACAGAAAAGAAACACTCAAGTATTGATAAATAATGACAATTAAAACAGAAGAGCAAGAAAACTGATATGGTCACACAAATTGAAATGACTTGCTTAATCGTAACCCTGTATTGAAAGAGCTCAATTGTCAACTTGCCTATAGCCTGACAGCACAATGAATATATATGGCAATTATACAAGTAGTTCTTAGAACACACATACATCAGATAGCTGGCATGGTGGTGTACATTTATAATCCCAGCATTCTGAAGGCTGAGCCAGGAGGATCTCAAATTCAAGCACAGTTTGGGCAACTCAGTGACTTAGTGAGACCCTGTCTCAAAATAAAAGAAATGGAAGAGCTGGGCCTGGTGCTTCATGCTTGTAATCCCAGCACTCTGGAGGCTGAGGCAGGAGGATCAAAAGTTTGAGGCCAGCCTAGGATACATAATGACTTCTAGGTGAGCCTGAACTACATAGGAAGACTGGTCTCAAAAAAAAAAAAAAAAAAAGTTAGAAAAAAAAGGGACTGCTGCACGTGGTGGGGCACGCCTGTAACCCCAACACTTGGGAGGCTTGAGACAGGAAGATCACTGTGAGTTCGAGGTCAGCCTGGGCTAAATGAGCTCAAGGCCAGCCTGAATTGCATAGCAAGATCCTGTCTCAAAAAGACAACAACAAAAGACTAAATAAATAAATAAATAAAATAAAAAAACAGACTGGGGAGGTAGCCAGCTCTACCCTGGAGCCTGGGTTCAATCCCTAGCACCATAAAAACAAAAAACCCCACATGTATCAGCTAAATAAAAGATATTACAATAACTTAATGTTACAATGTGGAATACACTAATTTCTTATTACAGATTTGAAATATATTTCACAAACATTTGCACTTTAATTCAAAAGCCAAAGAATCTTCCATAAGATAAAGAACTCTTCTGTACCTAATGACCACTTTCCCATTTACCTTGTGCTTCAAAATGGCTAGCTACAAATTATAACTATGTAAGTCATCATATAAATTAATACTTCCATAGTACTCAATAACAACTTCTTGAGGCTACAATAACCTGTGCGTAAGAACAAATTCACTCTCTAAATAGGTATGAAAATAGTGATTAGTATTTAAATGCACAAACTACCCATCTGTCAGGCACAATGCTAGGGGCTTTATATACTTTTAATCCTCATGGCTCCACAAATTTAGCATTAACATTCCATTTTACAGATAGAGAAACTTAACTGAGGCTCAGAAACGGGTCCACGCAGAAACCTCCTATTTTACCGTCAGTCATTTCTGCATATAATACTCATCTAAGAGCACCAACTGCATAATTTACCAATTAACCACCAAGTCTTGGAAACTACTATTCTGGGCAATACATGCTATGGGCACTTCCTGGGGAGTTGAGGACTTACCTTCCAAAGCTATAAATTGCGTTTTTTATATTAACACATACCCATATTTTTTCTTGGTTCTGAATGTATTAAATCTATGTTAATCATGGAATGCAGAGTATCACTAAGCTAGCAGTAGTCTCAGACGCTAAACAAATGGTGTAACAGATAGAGCTTGGATATTTTTTCAGAACCCCGGTTTATTCAGAAATGGGTCTACAGCTTCCACTCTGGCGGCTGAAGCAGGAGGATCACTGCGAGTTTGAGGCCAGCCTGGGCTACATAGTGAACTCAAAGCTAGCCTGAACTACACAGCGAGATCCAGACCACCACGCGCCCCGCAAAAAAAGGTATGATGAGTACTCAAAATCTGATGAGGCTGCCCTAAAACAGAGCTAAATATGGCATATTTTAAAGAACTGACATATGTCCAGTTACTCTAGTCAAACTGGTAGCCTATTAAACATTTCATAGGTCTTACTGAATCAAATATTATATATAGGTGTACTTCCAGTTTGACTTTGACCATTTTTAATCACACAAATGCTCTTGTAATCAATGACATTAAACCAAAAGAAAAGGATTTCTTCAAAGTTACTATTAGGGAAACTGTAACTTTGGAGATGTCTTTTTTTTTTTTTTGGAAAATTTTATTAGAGCATTGGTACTTAGTAAGATAAATATCTTTTACTTCGTTGACTCGCTATCCCAGCACAATTATACCTGAGGCACAAGAACCTCAAACAATTTTGTTTCTTTATAAAAGTAAGCTCGAAGAACACTGACTTCTTTGAATATCATAGCCCAAAAAAAGGGAAACAACGAGACAACCAAAAACTTCAAAGACAAGGTGATTTAGGACGGCAACCTAAGGCTCCAGCACAACAACGCGTGTAAATCTGATCCCCGGAGACCGTGGCACTGTCACCCAACTTTCTTTTTAATGTTCTCGTCGTGCTTTTCCTCGTACCACGGGCCAGATACACCTACATTTTACCAGCCGGTCGGAAGGTCTCGTTTCCTTTCTGAGGATTCTCCCGAGCAGGGCCGGGGCTGCGGCCGCGGGGCGGGCAGCGGCCACCGCGGAGAGCAGAACCGCGCACAGCACCCGCTCCGGGCAGGCCTGCTGCGGCTGCTCACCCAGTCCCTGGGGCTGCACGAGCAGCTGCAGCAGCAGCCACGGCAAGGGCTCGGGAACCTCTCCCCTGCCTCCTGCGCTAGGCCTCGAGGGGTTTGCTGTGCACAGGGCCCCCGGGTGGGGGCGGTGGGCACAAGGGAGTGGATGCAACTGCACCGCCGCAGCGGGCCGGGAGAGCCTGGCTCCCGCGGAACCCGACCTCCCCGCGGGCCGGCAACGGCGGCGGAGCCCCGGCTGCAGCCCCGACTGCTCGCCGCGGAAGGCCACCTTCGCACACGCATCTCTCCCCTGCCTGCCTACTGCTCCGTTAGCGCGACCGGTTGGCGGGCGGGGGAGGGGAGCGAGGCATGTTATTCCCGAGAGCTGGAGGGGGAGGGGAGGGCATCTCTTACCCGCGTTACTGAGGAGGAGGCGGTTGGAGCGCGGCGCGGCAGGGCGACGGCGGGTCTGGGTGGGTACAAGTAAGAGTCTTACGAAAGGAAATTAACCCCATCACCAGCCCGGACACCGGCTCCAGCGGCAGCCGCGGCGGCAGAATCCCGCCCCTTCCCACCACGCATAGCCCCGCCCCTTCGCTCTCTTTCATGGGCAACCGACTCCTTCATAGGCTGTACATCCACGGAGTGACACCAGCACTGTCCAATCACACTTGAGAAAATGACCTCCTCTCCACCTCTTGATCTCCTCCCGGCGGGAGAGAGTCCTGCCAAATCTTCCTCCACCCTCAAGGGAAAAATAACCAATCCGTGCTAAGTAACCGCCTTGAAGGACGCAAAAGGCAACCAATGGCAAAACTAGGAGGACAGCCATTTTGCCCACTTGTGAAAGAGCCACCTTTCCCACGAGTTGGACTCTTGAGGTGGGGGAGTTCCGGGAGTTTTTCTTGGCTGAAGACATTGAAGAGACTGCTGTTATTTCTTCAAGGAATATTCATAGTGTTTTATGAGGATAAAGCAAAAATTCTGTCCCGCATGTGGAGTGAAATGAGACATGCTGCTCAAGGGTTTGGCTCCTCCCTTTCGCGGTAACGGGTTCTAAACTGTACACCTGGTTTCCCCAGCCCGAGTGCCGGAGGGCGGGGTCACTGTTCTTTTCAGCCTACATGAACTACAGGTCCCAAAGTGCTTTGCTCCCCCATGTACTTCTTTTTTTTTTTTTTTTTTTCTTGCAAACCTTGACGGGAATTGTAGTTTCTGGGAGGTACCCGTGCCGCCTTCTTGGGGGATAAAGGAGTGACAAAGTTTGGCATGAGTGTTGGGAACGAGTCGTCTCAAGCCTGCAGTGAATCCTTTTCACCATTCTAACTGAGGTGAAGGGAAAGCCGACTGACCAGGGTTTTCTCAGAACAAGGTAGCAATTTTATATTGCTGGTATTTGAACGCTCTTACTTTCAGGTCGTCCCTTGAAACGTCACTTCCTCTTAGGGGCGGACACATCCCAAACCTGTGGCGGGAGTTAGAGATTCTGCAGCGAATACACAAGGTATAGGGGTCTGGGAGCGGCGTGCTGGGCGAGTTGCGTGTAAAATAGAAAATTGAACGGAATTTAATTAAATTTTAAGAACGAGTAGATGAATTGGGATGAGGCTAATTCCCAGCCCCTAAGGCCCAAAACCTGGAGTCCCATTTTTCTCGTCTGCACGGTATTAGATTGCATGTATGTATTTGTAGAGGATGCTTTTTATTGTCTTTAGACACTGCGTGAAGCGCGACTTCAGATCGTTCTGAGATGACTCCTACCATTGCAAACATATTTCTAAAGTCAGCTTTGAAGGAGGACAAGTTACGGACAGGTTTTGGGTCGGTAATCGTAGATGGTCCCCCCTCCTCCGCTTTTTTTAGTAACTGCCACCAAACAAGTGGCTACAGGGTGCCAACTATACTGCACTTATGGGAAAAGAATTATTTTTCAAAAACTTGGGTATCTACAGACTAATAAGAACTTTAGAGACTAGACCAGTGGTTTCCTGAGCAGTGGGGGAGGCCTCTATCCACCCTGAGAAAGTACAAATAAAAACGAGAAGATATGTATGTGTTTTGTGGTGAGGCATATATGTGAAGTCTGTTTGCCAGTCTTGACCTGGAGTGTGTCCACGAAGTTGGTGGGTTGGGGAAGAAGGGGGTAGTAGATGTCCCTGAGGAGAAGTCTTGGCCCAAAGTTGGCAGTTTAGAGTAACTTGGAGAGTGATGGTTTTAAGGGTGGGGTGTGTGGCCATGGGGGTTAGAAGTTTGTATAGAGTTTGAGTACTGACATGGAAGCAGTTGTGTAAGTTAGTGATGATGGTTTGTGCTTGTTGTCTGGAAGAGGAAGCTTTGGTCCTTGAAAGATTCACCCCTGTGTATTTTGGTGATAGTCAGGTTTGTAGAGTAATTGTAACTGCTGTGGTGAATATTGGGTTGAGGCCATGGCCCTTAGAATGAGAAAGAGGAGGTGGATATGGCTGTTGAGCCTCTAATTTGGCCTGTGTGTGAGCAAAAGCATTATCCTGAGCAATGGGATCTGATGGTGCTTGGTGTCCCCTGCAGTGGATGACAGCTACCTGTTTTGGGAGCTGTGCTGCCTCTAGGAGTTTGAGGATGAGAGGTGCATTGGTGATGGGAGTACCCTGAGTACTGATGAATCCCCTTTCTTGCCAGATGGCAGCATGAGAGTGGAGAATACTGAATATGTATTTTGAGTCTGTGTAAATGTTTATGATTTTATCTTTGGCCACTGTGAGGGCTCATGTAAGGGCTATAAGTTCTACTTTTTGTGAAGATGTGCCAGGTGGCAGTGGACCTGCCTCTATCACTGTTGACCCATTGACTGTGGCATATCCTACCCTCTTTTGAGTGTCTGCGTTGGTTTAGCTACTGTTTATGAACCATGTGTCAGAAGCTGTGGGAGAGGAGTACTATTAATGTGAGGGAATGGAGTAGGGTTCATTTGTAAGACCTCAACAAAATTATGTTGAGGGGTCTCATTACAGACAGGAAGTACAGTGGCTGGGTTGAGAGGAACACTGGTGGAGATGTTAATGGAAGGGTCTTGTATGAGTGTTAGATGGACCTGTTGTATGTGAGGAGTCATTAAGGTGGGGAGTGTCTTGTGAGAGATGAGCTCATTGAGGCAATGAGGTGATGAACTGTGATTGATTGTCCTAAAGTGAACTTTTTGCCTCCTGTGTTAATATGGCTGCTGCAGCAAGGGCCTGGAGACAAGGGGCCCATCTGCGTGCTGTGTTGTGTTTTGAGAGGTATGCTACTGCTTGGAATGAAGGACCCTTTTGGTGTCCTAAGACTCCCACAATGTTGTGTCCCTGAGGGGGAGTGTCTAGAGTAAAAGGTTGAGTTGGGTTAGGAAGAGTTAGAGCTGGGGCCTTTAAGAGGACCTCTTGTAACTTGTGAAAGGAGGAATGCATAGGAGCTGTGGGGTTGAGGGGTTCTGATAAGGAGCTCTTTAATGCTTTATAGAGAGGCTGAGCCAAGGAAGCAAAGTTAGGAATACAGAGGGCATGGTGGTGCATGCCTGTAATCCCAGCACTCAGGAGGCTGAGGCAGGAGGATTGTTGCGAGTTCGAGGCCAGCTGGGCTACAAAGTGAGCTAAAGGTCAGCCTGAACTGCATAGGGAGACCCTGTCTCAAAAAGACAAAAGACAAAAACCAAAACAGAGATGAAAGAAGTTTGCCAAACCAAAAAAAGATAGAACTTGTTTTGTAGTTGGGACTTGAAGCTCACAAAGGAGGGCTTTGCAGTTGGCAGTGATTGAACGAGTGGTGGGAGTGAGAGTTAGCCCCAAATATTTGACTTTGGTGAAGCTACTTGAGCTTTGGCTGGAGAGACTCTGTATCCACGATGTGACAGAAAATTGAGGAGTGCAGCAGTGTGTTGTATGGCCAGGGCATGGAAGCGGGAGCAGAGAAGGAGGTCATCTACTATTTGAAGAAAAGTGCTGGGTTTAAGATTGAGAGCCTCAAGATCTGTAGCAAGGGCTTCGCTAAAGAAATGGGGACTATCTCTGAACCCTTGAGGCAGGACTGTCCACGTGAGCTGTAGGGATCAGAGGGTATCTAGGTCTGTCGATGTGAAAGCAAAGAGGTCCTGACAATCAGGGTATAAGAGGATAGTGAAGAAGGCATCTTTGAGGTCTAAAACTGCAAAGTGAGTTGTAGATGGGGGAATGTGAGAGAACGTGGTGTAAGGGTTCAGCACCATGGGGTTAATTGGTGTAACTGCATTGTTGATAACCCTGAGATCTTGGACTAAATGACAGGAGCCATTAGGTTTAATTACCAGGAGAATAGGGGTATTGTGCGGTGAATGGAGCTTTAAGGAAACCATTGGCTAGGAGGCACTGAATTATGTGTTTGAGTTCCCATTGATGTTTGGGGGGTATTGGATATTGGGGAACACAAAGAAAGGTTGATGGGTCTTTGAGGTGAATTAATATAGGGCTGGTGTGGGTAGCACGAGTAGGACTAGAGGTGTCCCAGACTGTGGGGTTGACGAGGGGAGAAGGGATTGGAGGGGTTGAGGGGGCGGCACAGGATGATTGAGGTTGAAGGACAAGAGCCGTGGAGAAAGCATAAGAGAAATTGAGTTATGGAGGGGATCCCTGGACATGAGAGGTGAAGGACAATTTGGGACAAGGAAGTTGTGAGTAAAAAACAGTGTTTGGAGTCGGCAGGGAATAGGTCCAGTCTGGAGGGGTCCTGTAGGTCTGCCATCAATCCCCACGATAGATACTGTAGAGATGAGGTGCAATAGCCTGAAAATTCAGGAAGAACACTATATGTGGCTCCCATGTCAACAAGAAAAGAGAGTGTCTTACCTGAGACTTCTAGCAAGACTGGGGGCTCTGAGAAGGATACCTTGGTGGGGCCGTGGACCCTGAGCCCCGTCAGTCCTCTTCAGTGCCAAGCAGGTCAGCAGTTGATGAATCTGGCAGTGGTGGCAAGATCTCCTGTGAGGGCAGGGAATTGGATGACTTACCCACTCTCTGGCAGACAGGGCAGTTTCATTTCCAGTGGCCTTTGAGATTGCAGATGGGACCGGGTCCGGGCAGTGGCTTCAGATTGGGGCAGGCTCATGCCCAGTGTCCAGGAGGGGCTTGGGTGGCACCACCTTGTTTGGTATCTGTCTGTTTAGGTTTTTCTGTTTTGGGATGCCTGAGTGCCAATGCTGAAAGATCATGCTTATATTTAGCAATAGTTAATTTGTCTACATTTTGTTGATGATGTCTATTATTGAAAAGGCCAGAGCAGGGAGTTCTCTGAGGGCTGAGTTCAGACTTTTTAAATTTTGCCAGAATGTCAGGGGCTAACTGAGCAATAAAATGAGAGTTGACAAGGACTATTCCCTCCACTGATTGAGGATCTACATTGGTATATTTAGTTAAGGTGTCTGTGAGGTGAGTTAGGAACTCTGTGGGATTTTCATCAGCATGTTATGTTTTTTCTATGAGCTTGTTGAAATTAGTAGGTTTATGAGAAATTTTATGAAGATCTGCAATTATACAGCCAATCATGATATTAATACACTGTGAACCATTATCTCTCTGATAATCCCAGTGGGGGGTCTGCTATT